TTTTTTTTTTTTGCCGCGGAGCAACTAAGCTTGTGCACCACAAGTACTGAGCCTGCACTCCAGAGCCCGTGCACCACAACCACTGAGCCCCCATACCACAACTACTGAAGCCCGCGCGCCTAGAGCCCGTGCTCCGCAACAAGAGAAGCCACCTCAATGAGAAGCCCACGCACCGCAACAAAGAGTAGCCCCCGCTCACCGCAACTAAAGAAAGCCTGTACGCAGCAACAAAGACCCAATGCAGCCAAAAATAAATAAATTTTAAAAATATATATATATTCAGACAAGTGTACACAATTATAGTACATCAAAACACTATTTACAACGGTAAAAAGTTGTAAATGACCCTACTGTGTAACAATAAAGAAATAGTTCACTCAAAAAAAAATATATATGTTTTAATCTTAGATATGATACTGGTACATCACTACAAGCAAATACTGCTTTAAATATTTTGCCGTTTTGTACATGGCCAGAAAGTGTAGTCTCTGTACCCAGTGCTGTGATGGAAAGTGCTTAATGACCAGCTCTCAAGCAAGTGTGTGTACGTGTGCATGTGTACACATGTGTTTGTATGTACATTTATTATATATTTTAATATAGACTGAAATAGAAGATGTATAATATACAACACACAGTTAATAAGATACATAATGCTATTATAAATTCTATGTGGTCAATATACTCTCAGAGAATGCTTTCACTAATTTTTGCCAAACTATTGTATCCATAGGTCATCTACCACTGAAAATGAGGAAAAAGTGAAGTATGGATATGAACATTGGTTAATTTTTGTTCAAGTTATCTATTCTGATAATAGAATTATTATCATTCTTATAACAGTAATCAAACACTGAAAGATGATTTCCTCAATATTTTTGTGCTATTCATAATGTAAAGACTAAAGATACAACACATTTTTAAGCTTTAATCTGCATTAACAGTCTAGAGCAGGAGTCAAAAACTTTTCCTTAAAGGGCCAAATAGTAAATAATTTTAGACTTGTGGGTCGTACAGTCTATCACAACCACTCTATCTGCCACTGGAGTGTGAAAGTGGCCATATACAATATATAAATGAATGGGAAAGGTTGTATTCCAATAAAACTTTATTTACAAAAACAGGCAGCCAGACAGATTTGGGATATGGTCTATAGTTTGCCAACTTCTGGTCTTGATAATCCACAAAACAATAAATCAAGCCCTGATTTGTAGTTTGCTAATTTATGTGGTGTAAATACTCCCATCATGGCTCCTTTCAAGTCGACATAACATTAGTGAACATTAATGAATATAACATGAGTAGCACACATTGGTATTTCCACTAAACAGATGCAAATAGGTATAAATAATCTTAAAAGCACAGATAATAGTAAAATGTAAAAATAATTAGGAAATGATGACATTTGAGTATTTACTACCATAATTTGTCTAATCATGTTGAATAATTTAATTTTTAATATGGCTGTTTAACAAACGTGCCACAAAATTCCTGAAAATTTATTGGGGTGGCCAAAAAGTTCGTTCAGGTTTTTCCATAACATCTTGTAACAATCGGTTCTTGCAAGCCTTTACTAGCCAGCTCCAGCACACCTCTGTGTCTATGTTTAATAAAGTTCAAATCTCTTTCTGTCACTCTCTAACTTTAAACACTTTAATGGTACTCCACAGATCTTGAGATAACAGGTTCTTTTACTGGTGTCCAAGATTCTATACGATTTGGCTCCCTATTTACTGCTCTAGCTTTGTATCTCACCAGTATTCCTCACCACACACTTCCCTCCAACTAGAATGAACTTCCTCAGTTCAAGCAAAAAACCTATTGTTCCTTTTGCTCTTCACATGTGCTATTCCCTTTGTCTAGTGAACTCTGCTGCCTTCCCTTGACTACTTCCTACATATCCTTAAGGTCTCAGCTTAATCATTCCTTAGTTAGTTTTGCTTGAACCATAACCTTAACACTAAATGCCCATTATAGTATTCTATATACCTCCTCAATCATAGCACTACTCATACTGCATTGTAATGGTGTGTTTGTCTATATCCTTTGCTAAGAGAAAGCCCCTTGAGGACAGTGATCTCTCTCCAACAGCCAGCACTACCTTGCAACTATGTGAGTGGGACACCTAAAAAACCTCATCCTTTAGCTTTAGCGAAGCCTTTAGATGACCGTAGCCTCAAGAGACTCTCAATCAGAACCACTTGATTAAACTGCTCCTGAATTTCTGATCCACAGAAACCCTGGGATATTAGTGGTTACTGCTATTTTAAGCCACTAAGTTTTAGAGGTAATTTGTTAAATAGCAATAGATAACTAATACATTTATACTCTACAAACTTTAACACTGTATAAAAATATTATATCCATCAAGTAAAAAAACAAAAATTTGGGCATCAGTTTTCTCCCAATCTTCCCCCTCTCCAATCCAATCACCAAGTCTCTACAAAAATACTGAACTGATCTACTCTGCTTTAGTACAACTGCCAACACCTGAGCCCAGGCTAGCAACTCTGTCTTGTATTCAATACTATTACCTGATGATCTCATATCAAATCCCTCTCCAACCTCACCTCAAATCCATCTCCACACACAGTGGCACGTGTGTTCTTTTAATAAATAATTACAGGGCTTCCCTGGTGGCGCAGTGGTTGAGAATCTGCCTGCCAATGCAGGGACATGGGTTCGGGCCCTGGTCTGGGAAGATCCCACATGCCGCGGAGCAACTAAGCCCATGAGTCACAACTACTGAGCCTGCGCATCTGGAGCTTGTGCTCCACAACAAGAGAGGCCACACAGTGAGAGGCCCACGCACCGCGATGAAGAGTGGCCCCCACTCGCCGCAACTAGAGAAAGCCCTCGCACAGAAACGAAGACCCGACACATGCAAAAATAAAATAAATAAAAATTTAAAAAGCTAAAAAAAAAAAAATTATATTAATCACTACAAGCATTATCCCCTAATAAATTCTAAAATTAGTTGCTGAGGGACTTCCCTGGTGGCGCAGTGGTTAAGAATACACCTGCCAATGCCAGGGACACAGGTTAGATCCCTGATCCGGGAAGATCCCACATGCCGTGGAGCAACTAAGCCCGTGTGCCACAACTATTGAGCCCGTGTGCCACAACTACTGAGCCTGCGCGCCTAGAGCCCATGCTCCACAACAAGAGAAGCCACCGCAATGAGAAGCCCGTGCACCGCAATGAAGAGGAGCCCCTGCTCGCCACAACTACAGAAAGCCCTCATGCAGCAACGAAGACCCAACACAGCCATAAATAAATTAAATAAATAAATAAATAAATAAAATAGAATTAGTTGCTGAAACCTTAAGGATATTTGCATAAACTCAAAATAGTTCCTCCAAATACTTATTAATTATTGTCCTATTCTGGTGGTCTTAACACATGCCCACAAGTTCTTTGATACTCTCTCCTTCATGAGTTGTCGCTCAATGCCCTTTCCCCGACTCAGACTAGTAACTTGTCTGTCTAGGCTCAGTAACTTGTTTGTAAGGACAGAATATGAGGGGGAAAAAGCTTTGTAGTAGAGAAAGCTGGCAGATAACCAACTTAATCAAATGACCAATGTTAACAGCACTAGATGTACGATATATCAAGACAGTATGTCCCTGATATGATGCACTGAGAAAGACACTTCATCTCTGTATACTTTCCTAAAATACATAACCTTGGTCAAGGCATGAGAAAACATATGACTATCCCAAACTGAAAGATTTCTACAAAATACCTCACAAGTATTCTTCAATAGTCAAAGTAATGAGAGATAAGAAAACAGTGAGAAACTGTTGCAGATCAAAGAAGAATGAGACATGATGGGGAAGTCTGAATAAAGTCTGTAATTTAGTAATAACATTATACCAATGTGCATTTCTTAGTACTGATAAATGCATCATGTTTATGTAATATGTTAAAATTAGGAGGGGCTGATTAAAGGGTATATGGGAACTCTGTACTATCTTTGCCACTTCACTGTAAACATAAAATTACTTCAAAATTAAAAGTAAAAATACTGAAGCAAATATAGCATATCAAAAAATATATCATGTTTCTTTCCTGCTTAAGACCTTTCAGTGGCCTCCCACAGCATTTAAGAGTAAAACTCAAACTTGTTACCAAGGCCTATAAAAATCTACATAGTAAGAAGTGGAGTCCTAGCTTACCTCCCTGACTTTATCTCATTCAGCTCTGCATTATACATGAGACTCAGCAACCAAGTTCTTTCCTGCTTTTGGGCCTTGAACTCTGACCCTTTTCACGCAAAGATCTTCCTCCAACTCTTCATATGGCTGCTTCTTTCTTATTCTTCAGGTCCCAGCTCTGCTACCATCTCCTGGCATTCAATCTTAACTGCCACTTCCCCTAACCTCCCACACTATAGTACATCATTACTAATGATCTTTCCTATTTTTTACTTATTGTCTCACAAAACATTATGCCCACTTTCTCCATTACAGTATCCCCAATGCCTACAAGAAAAACGGACAAATAGAAGACACCCAAATATCTGACAAATATGTAAGTACTGATAGATGCCATCATTCTTTAAAGTCTCATAATCTCACCTCTTCCCATCCCTATTTGAAAAGCACTGTCTTAGAACATATAAATTATATCTATTTAAAATGAAAAGGTTTGGTTACACAATTTGCAAGTAACATGATGAAGAAACTGGTACTATCATGCCTTGCAGGTCAAAGTACCAAATGGTACAACCCTAAGCAGGGTAATTTGACAAAATCTATGAAAGTACAATTGACCAAACAATCAAATTTACAGCAATTTATCCTACAGGAATGCATAGATATACTTTTATACATCTGAAATTATGTATGTACAAAGTTATTCACTATACACTGCTTGTAGTAGCAAAACACTGGGAACAACCCATGTGCTCATCAATAAGGACCTAGTTAAGTATACTATAGTATATGCATGCAGTGGAAAACAATGTACCTTAGTAACTAATGAGGAGATTCTTTAAGCACTGATAATTGAAAGCTCTACAAAACATACCACTAAAAAAAAGCAAAAAGTAGAATATATTACTGTCTGCTAACTTTCACATAAGAAAGTGAGAAGTGTACACTTTTAATTGTATAAAAGTGTATACTTCTAAAAGTATACATTTTTAATTGTTAGTATCTGCCTAAAAGAAACTCTAAAATAACATCAGAAAATAATAAAAGCAGTTACCTGGGAAAAAAATAAAAGGGTATGTGGTAGGGTCAGAAAGAGACTAAAAGGGGAATGCTTTCATTTATATTTTAGTTTAAAAATATCAAAGCATTATGAAAAAATGTGTAAGTATTAAGCTACTAAAATTTATATGAGGGACTTCCCTGGTGGTCCAGGGGCTAAGACTCTGTACTCCCAATGCAGGGGGCCCAGGTTCGAACCCTGGTCAGGGAACTAGATCCCACATGCTGCAACCAAAGAGCCCGCATGCCGCAGCAAAGATGCCGCATGCGGCAATGAAGACCCCGTGTGCCGCAATGAAGGCCCGACGCAGCCAAATAAACAAATATTTAAAAAATAAGCAAATAAAATGTATATGAAATATAAGCGAGAGGTTTAATTTCTTCTTTTTTCTTCCTATGATTATTCCATATATGCACAATATTATAATCATAGTATAATACTTCGCTCAGCTTTCCTCACTTAACATTAATTATTACACAATTTTATGTTTGTATATGAATAGAGAATATAAAATCTTTCTATAATCTTCAAATTTAGATTTATGTAGGAATACTACAATTTTATTAATGAAATCCTAAGGGCCAGGTGTGTTACGGAATTTCAGATTTTTTAGACTTTCTAAGAGTAGTAAGGTGCATAAACCAAACATTAGTACTCTCCAGTGGGATCTGAGGCAGCATCCATAATGCAAGAGTATGCTCAATGCTTAACACAATGAAGCAGTGAAGTATAAATACCCACACCAAGTGGGATAAATAAAAACTATAAATGACCAAGTGGGATAAATAAAAACTATAAATGGCTGTAAATTAATTCAAATCTGGTTTTGCTTCCAAATGGATTTGTGTGAAATTTATGAAAATGTTTAGGTTTCAGTGTTTTGGATTTTCGTATTAGGGGTCTTTAAGTGGGAACATTCAAATTCAGTTATAGAGAGAAAATAACACTAATATTAAAAACAGTATCCTGACATATTTTACATCAATGAAAATAACATGAGCTTTAATAATTACTTATCAGCAAATCATAAGCCATAATCATATAAAACTAAATGAAAATGAATCAGATTTATATAACTGAAGGATTAGTTCCCTTGAAAAAGTTAAGTTTGTTGCTGAATTGTTCCAACATGACGAAGTAAAATACGTACACTTAACCAGAATGTACTAGATGCTAGGGTGACAATTAACACTGATCATTCTCGAAATCTGCAAAAGGCATTAAAAAGATCGAATAAATCAATATACACCTTAAACATGGGGGAGATCTCAGAGTCAGTATCTGTAACATACTTTACAAAGGTATTAATGAAAAGTTAAAATTAAATAAAATCTCATATCGGTTCTGAAAATTCTGAATCTGAGCCCATTACTTAGATAAATTCAAAGAAAACAATTATTTCCATCAGCAAACTCCCCAAATATTTATTTCCAAAGAATACTTTACTTTGATTAAAAGGTGCTAAGGCATTTGAGAAGCAATATTAAATCCAGTAACAGTGTTAACAACATGTTTAAAGGAAAACTTATACCAGTAATCAAAAAGATTAAATTCTTTATTAAAAGTAAGTCAGCACAGACACTATAGCACCAAAAAACTCAAACAGATATTAGTATGATAAATCAAATTGATGTAACCTCATGTCACATCATTTTATTTTTAAATTAGTCTAGGGAATTCCCTGGCAGTCCAGTGGTTAGGACTTGGCGCTTTCACTGCTGTGGCCCAGGTTCAATCCCTGGTCCAGGAACTAAGATCCCACAAGCTGCACGATGAGGCCAAAAATAAAAGCCTAGTCACATCCTTCAAGAGGGACTACTCTTATGTCAGTACAAACTTCAGTACTGCCTACAGATTTCTGTCAGTGTAAATTGTAAGAGCCATGCATATTTATTAGGATGTAATTTCATCTCTGGATTTCAGTGACACTGATAAACCACTCAAGCTTCACTCTTGGTTTTTAATGACACCAGAACAAGTTGATGGAATTACAGCTTTATATGTGCCATTGAAAGTCTTATTTCTTATCATAGAATAATAAGGCTGGAATCTTTAAAGGGCATCATTCCTACTATCTCACCATGGAAAGATGGATGTCTAGTTTATTTTTAAAATCCCATTACTGGTCCTCAGTAATCCATTCTAATGTTCACACCACAGTCTTCTCTTTAGTTACTTCACACACACACACAGCCCCTCTCCTTCCACCCCATTTCCCAACCTCCCCTTCTCTCTCACCATTACTATGTTGTAAATTTATTAAAGGAAAAAACATACTTGCATTCAAAAACTTTTCCATGTTTTACAAATCTAAACACTTCACAAAAAATTTTAAAACTGATTAAAATAGCAATGTGAAATGTACACAATTTTCCCAACCCACTGGTACACGCACACCTCTTTTGCTCTCTAGCCAGAAAACATATATCAATATTGACAGCCTGCCAATAAGGTACCAATAAAAGCAGAGTTGCCCCAACCTTTCTAAATTACCTATCTTTTTGGTTGAGACATTAAAAGCTTCGGTTTTAACAGGCTATGGGTAAAAAGAGATACCAATCTTCAACCACTTGGTTAACTTAATTTCCTGCACTGGCATTTAACCAAGTGGTTGAAAATGAAGTTTCCTGACTGAAATCCACCCAGAGCAAGATGAGCTAACCTGGCCTGAAAGCAACTGCCAAAGTAACTTCAGGAAAAGTAGGAAATAAGACTAGCTTTTTTTTGGTTTTATGATAATGTACTCAATGATGAGACAAAAACAAAAAAAGTATTATTATATTGACAAAAACATAAACTTGCTAAATGATATATTTACCTTGCATTCAATCTCTGCTTGTTTGCGCTTTGCTTCACTTAATTGGGTAAGTAGTCCTTTGTTCTGTGCAGAAAGATACTGCACCTTCTCCTGTAGATTGATCACCTCTTGTTCTGCTCTTCGAAGATGATTACTATTTATCTGGTTCTAATAATTAAAAATATAAAAACTCAGAGTATAGATAAAAGGCCTGAAAAAACTTATAGATTTCTACCTACGCATATTATGCCTCAACAATATTCTTAATAGTATTATTAGTTATAGGCCTATTTTATTCAACAAATAAATACATAAAAAAAATTATAAAACTGCTTTAAGCATCAAATCACCCAAAAGGATGCATAAGGTTCATATTAGAAATTCTCACTAGAGGTCCATTTACCATTTATACAATAAATATCTATAAACTATAAGGATGTTTACATAGAACTTGTAGGTATTAATTTCTGAAATAGGCAATATGGTATAAAATAGATGTGATACGATGAATTTAACTCCCTTTTCCAGTTCCCAAAAGAAAACAGAGACTAATCAAAAGGTATCATCACCACTTACTGGACTGTAAACTTTTTGATACAAAATGTATCACATGAACTTCTACATTCCTAAAATATATATAGCACAGTCTGTTTTTATGGAGGATGGACTGGTTTTGAATTCTGGCTTGCTATTTGGTGAGTAAGCAAACTAGTTAATATCTAGTTTCTATTTCCTCATTTGAAAAATGTACATAAAAATACTATCTATTTCTCATTTGGTTGTCTTTAGAATTAAACGAGATAATACATGTTAACAGAGCTTAATATATAGTAAGAACTCAATACATGCTAGCTGCTTAGTGTATTATAACTATAGGACATGATGAAAAAATAGATCTTTTATTTATTTTTATTGAAGTATATAGTTGATTTACAATGTAGTTTTAGTTTCTGGTGTACAGCAAAGTGACTCAGTTTTTTACATATGTATTCTTTTTCATATTCTTTTCTATTATGGTTTATTACAGCATATTGAATATAGTTCCCTGTGCTGCACAATAGGATCTTGTTATAGATCTTGAATTTACAGACATGAGGCAGTCTTCACATTCAGGCTTGACCCAGCTTGAATTCTCTCAACGCTAAATTATTCTATTAGAGGCCTGAAAGAAACAGTAGGGATTTTCATAGCCAAAGAGAGGCAAAATTAGGCTCTTCATTTAACCGTTCTTCAACCTTGGTCAAGTTAACTAATGCCATCAAATTATAGTATACTGATAGAACCGTAGATATTACTGCTTGTCTTTTAAGGCTGTGTTTTGAGAATTATGTGAGAAAAGTTTATGGAAGGAGTTCTCATCTAATGCCTGAAATTTAAGACATTTAATAAATACTCAGTTGTTACTATTATTAAACCTATTCTATCTCACTCTATGAAGATGATCCTGCCTCCAGTTTTAATTTTAAAATCTGGGTCATCCAATAGATTTAAGCTCTAAAACTTTCTACCACTTCCAGGTTTCTTCATCTTCACTACTCATCTTTCTGACTCACAGAAGAAACGCCTCCTTCCTAAGACCATCCTCTATGTCACCCGCTTCTTCCTCACTTTCAATCAATGAACACTGTCTGTCTACAAAATTAAGAGTGAACTTCTTAGTTCTGTATTCAAAATGTTCCACAACCTCTTTTTACTGTCTTACCTCCTACCATTAAGACAAATAACTATACTACAGAGGGACACAACTTCAACATAAGCTGCAAAGAATTCCCACAGACAAAACTCCTCCCTACACCCCTGAATACCATTCCACGATCCAAAATTACAAAACGAAACACTCACACATAAACAAAATCCAAGAATCGACTATGAGTGAGAAATGGTAGACAAAAAAATAAATAAATAGCAAGAATAGATTTTTAAGAACTCTAGATAGTAAAATAATCACATAAGGGCTTTATACAAAATAGTTTATGCTTAAAATTATTAGACATAGACATAAAAAGAGGAAGCAAAAACATAAACAAAGAACAGGTCACTGTCAAAAAACATTCAGCAAATTTGAAAAATAACCAAATATAATTTTTAAAATTAACAGATACTGCTGTTAAAAATTCAATTATGTTGAGACACAGAAAAGAGAATAAGGGGGTATAAAATACACCTATTAGGTGTTTCAGGATAAAATATACCTAACAGGTGTTGCAGAAAAAAAAGTGAGACACGATGGCCTAAGAAGATGGTAATAGTTGGGAATCCTTTACAACAACAACAGCAACAACTACATATGAATCTACAGCTCAGGAAGCACAACTAGTCCCAAACAGGATAAACATCAACATAAATAAGGCCTCATCAAAATACATTATAACAAAACTTACAAAATGCTAAAGAAAAGAAGAGGCAAATCAAGGGGAAAACTGAGTATCTGTGAAGGCGGAAAGTGAAATATCCAGCAGACATCTCAACAGGAAAAATTGGTAGTGCTTAAAAAAAATTCATCCTATAAAAAGTATACTCAGCTAACAACATACAAGAGTGAGAGAAAAGTACATTTATTTTAAGAAAGTGAGAGAGTTTACAACTCATGATCGAAACTGGAAAGAAACTGTTTGGTAAAAGTTGGCATGCAGGTAGACAAATCCACAGGAGTACTGACTCCATAAAACAATAATAATGCCTAGGAATTTGGAGATTTAAAAAAATGTACAATAATCGTAAGATGTAAGAAGAACACATGGAGTTATTCTAAGGCCCTTATATAGTTTGGAAGAATGACAGAGATAATTACTAACTTTAGACTTTGTTCAGTCAGGCAAGCATTTTCTTCCTTTTTTTTTTCCTTCAGGTAGTAAACACTAATAGAAAAGAAAAGGAATTATAAAAGTCAAACTAACAGAAGGAGAAAGAAAAAACTAAATCCAATAAAAGGCAAGAAAGGAAGAAAACACATAGAAAGAAAGAAGAAACAATACAAAATAAAATAATTTCAAATACATCATAATAAAGACTTTTGATTTCTGATTGGGGATATAGAGAATCAGAAAGAACATTGCTTCCACCTTTTCAATTAAAAAAAAAAAAAAAGCCAGCCAAACTCTAAGTTCATGACTAATGTTGAACCCAGAGAGGTGAGGTCACAGGACAACCACTAGCTCAAAATCTAAGAGACAGGGCAGATGCTGCTAGAAGCTGTTAAGAATAATTCAGCTAGAGTAAACATTGAATGGGTGGAGCTCAACTGTGGGCTGGCTAGAGAGCGTGGAGCCCGTGGGGAGAATAGAGTGCATAAACTCTTATACACTTTTCCCTCATGGACCCCAACAGGTACACATGAAAAAGACTGGTGAGAGTCCTGAGAAAGAGATCTCCATGCTACAGGCCGCAGGGAGGGGGAAAACAGCTGATATGTGAGGGGCACTAACCTTGCTTATCTCCTCTACAGAACAAAAGGTTTAATCTGCTTGGAGCAGGACAACAAATATTGTTGTCTCTGGGGCACGGGGAAAACCAGTGCATCCGGGGAAGGGGCAGGACTATAGCTTGGGGGTAGGACAGGAGCACTAATGAGACCAAACACCCCAGATCCAGGGACATGATGCAGCCTAAGACTGAGGCTTTATCAGAACAATAGGGCAGAAGTGTTCTCTGACCCTCCAATTTCCTGTAACAAGTAACAGTGGAATACTGCTGGGGACTGACCCCCTGAAGTACTGTACAAATGGAAGACCTAAAGATATTAAGAAAACCCTTTGGCAAACCAGCCCCTGATCTAAAAATAAGATATTGCTAGAGGAATTTGAAGCCCATGGTGCAATGAGGGTAACCACAGAAACAACAAACCTCAAACCAGCCCAACTCCTGACTATATTAACTCAAAGCCCCCACATTAAAGACCTAGTAGAAGGAAAGATGTACCCATTTCCAGGCAAGAAACTATTTACCTTAGTCTACTGCTCTACACAAGATACACATCTAGTTTTCAACAAAAAATTACACAGCATAGGAAAAGGTAAAAAACAAAACACTTCCAAGAGACAAAGCAATCAACAGAACCAGCCTCATATATGACACAGATATTGAAATTATCTGACAGGGAATTTAAAATAAGGGCTCTATGGGAAAGGTGAAAAATATGCAACATAAGATAGGAACTATCAGCAAAGAAATGAAAACTATAAGAATTAAACAGAAATACTAGAAGTAAAAAACACAGTTAACAGGTGTAAAGAATACCTTCAACAGCTCATCAGACAACTCACAAATTGGAGGAAAGAATCAGTGAACTTAGTGATAAATCAAGAGAAATATGTCAGTCAATAGAAACTGAAATACAAAGCGAAAAAATAATGGGAGGGAAAAGAGTAGAGCATCCAAGAGTTGCTGGACAACATCAAACAACCTAACATAAGTGTGAATGGAATCCCTGAAGAAGAGAGTGTGGGAGAAGAAATATGTGACGAAATAATGACCCAGAAATTTCCAAATTTCATGGCAGTCACAAATTCACAGGTCCCAGAAGCTCAAGAAAAAACAAAGCAAAAATCACATCAAGTCAAATTATATTTCCCTAGGAAACTGCCCATTTCATCTAAATACTCTAATTTCAAATGTATCACTTAAACTTGTTCAGAGTATGTTTTTAAAAAATATTTTCACTGGATCTATATTTATGTCCCTTTTTCTCATTCCTAATAGTGTTTATTTGTGCCTTCTTTCTTTTCTTAAAAAAGTCTTGAAGAAGTTTACCACATCTTACAGCACCAGACTCAAGAAGAAACAGAAAACCTGAAAAGATCTATAACCCTTCAACAACTAGGATCAATAATTATTATACCCACAAAACAAAACAAAAAGACAAGACTGTTTAAAGGAATGAATTCCAGGGACTTCCCTGGTGGTCCAGTGATCTCTGTGCTTCCACGGCAGGGGGCACGGGTTCAATTCCTGGTCGAGAAACTAAGATCCCACATACCACCTGGCCCAAAAAATAAAGGAATGAATTCCAGCAAATATTCCAGTAATGGGTAATTTCAATCTTACATAAAACTTCTGAGAACAGAAAAAGTTAAATACAACCCAACTCATTCCCCCAGCTTACCTTGGCGCCAAAACCAGATAAAAGGCTCCCCCAAAAGGAAAATTATAGCACAATCTAATTTAGGTACAAAAAAAATCTAAATTATGAAAAACCTGATTCCTGCAATGGGAATATGTTGTGTATGTCTCTGTCTGCATTCCATATTACAAACTTGTTCTTTAGCATTTTGATAACTGTACCTCAATATAACGGTTTTCTTTGAAATCCTATGTATTTTATGCATTAAAAAACACTATTTTGAGATGGGGTCCATAGGTTTCAGGCTGCCAAAGGGGTTCATGGCACACAAAATAGGTAAGAACCCCTGTACTAAAGAAACTCTTAGAGATATACACAAGAAAACATGCAAGGATGCTCAGAGCAGCCCTGTTTGTAATAGCAAAAATTGGTACGAAAAGGAAAGTGGTTCCATAAACCAAGGTATACTTATCAGGTGGACTTTTCTAAAAGTCATTAAAATGAATAAGAACTGGAGCTACATGTATCAGCAAGGACCTATCTCTTAATCTGGATGCTGGATACATGGGTGTTTGATGTAATATTCTTTAGATGACTAATACAGCATTAACATCACATGACACTATTTGTATTTATTTTCCTCACTTTGCAATGAGAAAACTTCATGGATCATCACCAGTACATGCACGGACATTTAGGAGCCATTAGTCAGGCACAGTGCAAAATACAAATTCCTTAGGAAGCCTTTCTCCAAACCACCAAGTTGCAATTAACTGTCCTGTCCTATTCTCCATAGCAATTTCTATCTAACTCTCTACTTACAAACTTCTGAATTATATATTGCTTCCAGTTTTACTGAAATATAATTAACATATAGCACTGTATAAGTCTAACGTGTACAGCATAATAACTTGACTTACATATATTGCAAAATGATTACCACAGTAAATTTAGTTAACCTTGATTATCTCACATAGTGAATTATATTAAATACAGTTTGTGCTTGCCTGATTTCTCAAGTGTAAGATATTCTTTTTTTTTTTAAGTGTAAGATCTTTGATGGCTGCATACTGCTTTGTAGTCACAAGTTCCCAAAACCACATTTGCTGAGTTTGATCCATTTATCTACAGTCACTCTGAAATAAATCCTGAACACTGGCTTAAAAGTTGTGTTTGCATCTTTAATATCTATACTGAGATAAAATCTGATTATAAAAATAAAACTTACCATCACAAAGCTGGATTTCTACTTTTCATAATCTTACTGTTATTTTTAATTACAATGAACAATACAAGAAAATAACTTTGAACAATGTAAAACAAGATACGTTTAATCTAAAGGATTTACAAATCCACATTACCATGTTCAAGTTGGGATAATCATTTCCATGTTCAAGTTGGGATAATCATTTTTTTTAATATCTTCTATGTATTTTTAATTTTTTTATTAAGGCATAGTTGACATATTAGTTACAGGTATACAACGTAGTGACATATAAATGCCATATGGTATGGCATTTATATACATTGCAAATTGATCACCACAGTAAGTCTGATAACATCACTGTCCAAAGTTATTGCAATATTATTGACAATATTCCCTATGCTGTATACTATATCCCCATGGTAACTATTTTATAATTGGAAGTTTGTACCTTTTAATCCCCTTTACCTATTTCTCCCAACCCCAATCCTTCTCCCCTCTGATGAACATCAGTTTGTTCTCTCTATATATGAGTCTGTTTGGGATAATCATTTTGCAGTAAGTATACAGAATGATATATGAGTTAACTATGCCCCCTACTGACTGAATAAGTATTTTGAAAACTGAATAACATTACAGAGAATAAAGAATATAGTCCACACAGATGTACCAAATAAAAACCAAATGCACCAAAGGTACTTTTATAATGTAAATGGGTTACATAAAAAGGACTTTGCATATCTTAAGTCAAGCATATTTGAGATAAGATTTATTAGAGAAAAGGGGACTTGAGAAGAAAGAAGTGTAATTTCGGAATTGACTGCTCAGAGTCACCACATTACACAACTTTAGGAAGCATCATTCACATTATATTCTACATCAGTGGTTCTCAACCAGGGGCAATTTTGCCCCCCAGGGGACATTTGGTAATGTGTGGAGATGCTTTCGGCCATCACAATGTGGCAGGGGTGTGGTGCTGAGTAGAGGGTAGAGGAATATGGTAGTAGGTAGAGAGGCCAGGGATGCTGCTAAACATACTACAATGCACAGGCCAGTCTCACAATAAAGAATTAACTGGTCCCGAGTGTTAATATTGTTGAGGTTAAGAAATTTTGCTCAACATGAGCATTCCCTTTCAGGTTGTACAACAATGAAACAAAGTCATATTGAGTTTTATGACTTGTTTAAACTTTGTTGAAAGAGTCAAAGAAGATATTAAATCTCTGATGTCAAGGAATACAGTTTTAGCCCTTTTTATCTGGGCTAGAAAACTGCAGTCTAGACAGTTTCATACGTCCACCTTTTGGCTCTGTTCTAAGGATGATACAATTTGTGCATAAACTTTTAATGGGCTAACAGTATTTTTTAAAGCTATTAGGCTTTCCCATTATACCTGTGTTTCCATTTCCATCATCCTTTGTTTTATTTCTCTTATTTCTGCCTGTGTTTCAGCTTCTCTAAGTCGAATGGTCATCAGTTCATCTTGTAACTCATTCACAGCATTTTTCTTAGGTGGGTCTTTCCATCTCCCAGTAGTACGAGCTAAGTGGCGCTGAAATACAAAAAATTATATCGCAACAAATATTCCCAGTATTACAGTAAGAGCCAACTTAACAAAGCACTTATTTCAGGCCCAGTACTGTATAAGGCACTTTATATGAATCATTTTATTTAATCCCCAGAAAATCTTAAAAGTTAAGCACTATTATTTTCAATATAGAGGTAAGAAAATGGAAATTCTGAGTAAGTAACTTCAGAAAGGTCACACAGCCAGTAAGTGGCAGATCTGGGATATAAACTCAGATATAGTTCAAATTTTTTTTTATATTGTGGATTAATTATTGTAAAGAATACATTTTTCACCCTAATTTTTTTCTGAGAGATTTTTACATTATTTTGTAATGAAATCCCAAGAAAAGGGGAAAACTGGGCCCTTCACGAATTAAGGAAACAATATTAGAAGTTGAGAGCAGTGTTCTCAAAATATCTGTGGTGAAGGACAGTTTTGTTTCATTTGTTTCTAATTTCTAATGCCACCTGATACTTCTTAAAAAAAAAAAAAAAGCCATGGCAACGTAAAGGACTGACTTCAGTCTTTGCTAGATGCATCCCCCATCCCAAATTCATACCAAGATCACTATTCTAAAATGATGTGTAGTTTTTTATTTCTTTCCTCTCTCCCTTCTCTCTTATAGATTCTGGTTTGTTTTTTTTTGTGCTACTTATCAATAGTTTCCCTCATATGTGAATAATTTTGTGGGCGTATAACTAACTGTTTTATTTTGTGGGAAAACCATTTTCAAAAGAAGTTACAAATTCATAAACAAATTTATATTGGTGTCACCCTTCTGATGTTTCATACTGACCAATGAATTTATTATCAACAGGAGAAGAAATAAGTACTATATAAAGAAGTATTTTCTTTTAGTTCTTTAGAAAGTTACACAAATCACAATGGTATAACAACACAATAAAAATGACTTGATCTCTATTTTATCTTTTATTTACTTTTAAGAATCAGAAAGGGAGAGAAAGCTAAAGGTACTTTCAATTTATAAATGCTCTCAGTTTTGTATATTAAACAGGGTCTTTCTCACTTTAAACTCAGATCCTAGTGTTGGTCAGTAACTACTTCAAATTCACACAAAATGGATATTCAGGTTTTACCTTTCTTTTTTAAAGCACACAAAATATTTTGATATACCTGCCAGTGTTCCTCTAAATCCTTGACTTGTTGTCTAAGTTCTTTTAAACCCATAATAGCTTCTGCCTCTCTCAGTTTCACAGCAATGAGTTCCTCCTGAAGCCTTGCAATGTTATTCTCATCAGGAAAGGAGTTGTTTCTCTAAAGCAAGAGGAAATTTAATTGGGGATTATTTTTAATTTGAAGAATAAAATACAGCATATATAATAATAAAATACAACAAAATAATGAGCTGTTTTCTCCCATATGTAATTGTATTTAATTTTATTGAGATATAATTCACAAACCATAAAACTTACCCTTTTAATGAACACTAGTCAGTGGCTTTTGTTTTTTTTTAAAATTATTTATTTATTTTTGGCTGTGTTGGATCTTCATTGCTGCACATGGGATTTCTCTAGTTGCAGCAAGTGGGGGCTACTCTTTGTTGTGGTGCGCAGGCTTCTCATTGCGGTGGCTTCTCTTGTTGCGGAGCATGGGCTCCAGGCATGCAGGTTTCAGTAGTTGCGGCACACGGGCTCAGTAGTTGTGGTGCATGGGCTTAGTTGCTCTGCGGCATGTGGGATCCTCCCGGACCAGGGCTCAAACCCATGTCCCCTGCGTTGGCAGGTGGATTCTTAACCACTGCACCACCAGGGAAGTCCCTAGTCAGTGGTTTTAAGAGTATTCACAGGGCTGTGCAACCAACATCATGAACTAATTTCAGAACATTTTAATCACCCCCAAAAGAAACTCTATACCATTAGCAGTCACTCTACATTTCCCCTACCCCCAGCCCCTGGCAATCACTAATCTATGTCTCTATGAATTTGCCTATTCTGAATATTTCATATAAATGGAATCATAAAATACATGGCTTTTCATGACTAGCTTCTTTCACTTAGCATGTTTTCAAGTTTCATTTTTTTATTGCCGAATAATATTCCATGGTACAGATATACCACATTTTATGTACACGTTCATCAGTTGATGGAAATGTGAGTTGTTTCCACTTTGGGGTTACATGAATAACACTGCTATGAACATTTATGTAAAACTTTTTGTGTAGATATATGTTTTTAACTCTCCTGAGTATGTATGAAAGAACAGAGATGCTGGATCAGATGGTAATTCTACATTTAACTTTTAAGAAATTGTCAAACTTTTCCAAAGCAGTTGCATGTTTTACATTCCCACCAGGAAGGTATAAGGGTAACTGTACTTAATGTTGAGGACACAGAAAGTCTAACTCTGTTTTGTTTAATAAAATACTAATTATGGAGCAACAGGATTAAAAATGTTTTTCAATATGGCAGTGAACATACTAACCTCTGATTAGGACTACAAAGCATGAACATAATTTATGTTTTAAAGATTTATGGAAGAGAATAGTCCAAAATCTGTTTTGTTATATTTTCTCAGCATATCATTTTGAAAAGGGAGTGTAAAACATCTGTACATTAGTCACTGGTTATATCAATATCCAAGAAATAAGCACCAAGGTGACCTAAATATTTGCTTCAAGGGTACAAGATTTAATCTCCTACCATGCTGAAAGACCCACCATAGGATACAGGGTTGCCATATTAAACTACTCTGGGGAATGACCAAAGAATCCTAAATTAGGCTCTAGTAAAAGCTCCTTAGGTAAACTGAAGTACTATTGAAATTTCAAGTCCTGAGTCTATGAAATTTTCTATCTCTGAAATATTTCATGAAGATTTTAGCCCACAGAGATGATGGAATAAAGTTATTCTTGCCAACTACACATTTTTATGATGGACTTGAAATATTTTCTCAATTGAAAACCAGAAATTTACTGTATATGCATTAAAAAAAGTATCTTGCATGAAGAAATTAACCATAGGAAGCATGAAACCTTCCAATTTCCTTTCTACTCTATAACATGAATACCAACAAAGCTACTTAAAAATTTATTTTTAAATTGGACCCAAAGACATTTCTTTCTACCAAATATTCAAAACTAAAAGATCCAGATTCTTACCTAAATCATGGAGCCCAGAATACTCTCAATTAGGCAATTTTTACAGCATTCTTGCTGGCTTTTTTCTCAGCAAACAGGAGAATAAGTTTTCCAAAAATAATATAAAAATAGCAAGTAGATTTCTAGCAAAATTATTCCACTATTGATTGTAGTTATACATTATTCTATTTCATTAAGAAACAGTTAAGAACAATTTGAGGGTATCTTTCATGTCCATTATTTATGAGTTTTTGACTCAATGGCTAGATACTACCCAAGGGCCAAAGAAACAAACGCAACACAGAGCCCAAATTATCTATGATTTTATAAATGAGAAAACAGAGATTCAGAGTTTGTGATTTGGAACAGAGACTCTCAAGTCGGAGGGTTGTAAGAAACCTAAAATCATTTCTATTTCCACTACTAATCTGTTCTTTAATAACTTTGAAAAAAGGTAAGTTAGCTTCTGTAAGTACACCTCCAGCTAAGATCTTCCTATATATTCGGAGGTGGGTTTCTTGCAGCTTGGAAAGCTGTAACAGTTACACTCAGATGAAATTTTCGCTGAAATGTTTATGTATTGGTCTATTTCTACACCTCTTGCAGATGAAGGTATTATAATATTTGAAGATGATGGTTAATTTCTTTTAAAAAATTATTTTTACATGAAAACAAGGTATATTTGCAATGTGTTTCAATCAAAATATTCACTCCTATATCTCAGATCTACATATTTCAAAGTAATAATGTTTACTTGTCAGCTGAAATTTCTGATTAGACCTAATATTTGTGTACTTTTGTGCTTAGTCAGAATGTAAATTTCACAGTGGATTTTCTTTTTGAAATTTACCTTTTATTTGGATAAAAGCAACATGATGTATTTATATACTATAGGGATAAAAATGGTAATTTTCATTTTTTAGAAAAACTACCAATGTGATTATGTTTTTAGTTCTTTTTACTTGTGTTTAGCACAGGCTTTAAATTAAAAAATACACTATGGTCTGGACTGACCCAAAAAGTATTCCATAAATTAACAAATATATGGCAAGTTTTTCATAGCTAAATCTAATTCTTCTAGAAGTTGTTGCCTTCTGCTTAATTACATTAATTGAAATGTGCTTAAGACAAATACTTTCAGCATATTTTATATACTAAAAAACAAAACAAAAAGGGTTAGTACTGGGCCAATGGCCAAGAGGCAATATTACTACCTTGTAGACTGTTACAGTTCAGATTGTCCCACTTCCCCCAGAATTTCAGAAACGAGAAGTCTGGGAGATACTGTACCAGCTGCAGTCGGGTGATTCTAAATGCTGTAAGTACTATTCATCTTGACGATGGTTAATTTCTATCCCCCAGTTTCTCTTCTCCGACATTTAAACATTATTCATATCAAAATTATCCTGGTTGTTTTCCTCTAAAAGGGCTCTAATCTCCATTTTTACCCTAAATATGGCACTTTGAGTAGTATGGCAACAACAAAGAATAAATGGGAATCATGTCTTTTTTTCCTTTCCTCTCTTATAATATGTAAGATTTTTAATGTGCAAAAACACCAAGTCCAATTTCACTACTCAGTAAGTACTTAGCAAGTATCTATCACATGTCCCATTCTAATTTGGGAATGAAAGCATTTATGTTGTTCTTACCTTTTCTATATCCAGAACTTTATCCTGCATTTCCTTTAGTGCACACTGAGACTCAGCTTCACTCAGTCGGGCTTGGACCAATTCCTTCTCTAGCTGTAGCACAAAATCTTCATTGTAGTTGGAACTGCATTTATGCTACAAGTTATAGACATACACTGAAATTTTTCATAAGTATGAACATGTATAAATAATAAAAATAAGTGCAATTACACAATACAACTATTGAGGGCAACCAGATGGTAAAAGTTCCATCCACCTAGTATTTCCAGCTTATCTCCTCCAATTAACTTTCCAATGAACAAAAAATTCCACATTTGATATCTATCTATTGGGTGTTCATAATCAGTTATTACACTAACTGAATCCAATTTATAGGAGATAAATATCTTTTTTTATCTGTCCATCCATCCAGATACTAAGAATTTGTCCCAGCTCTACAGACCTGAACTGTACAACAGTGTAACCACCAGCCATATATGGTTACAGAGCACTTGAAATGTGGTAAGTCCAAATTAAGAAAAGTTTTAAGTGTAAAACACAAACTGGATTTCGAAGGTTTAGTGTGAAATAAAAAGGCAAAATATCTCAGTAATTTGTATACTGATTATATGTTGAAATAATATTTCAAATGCCAAGTTAAACAAAATATTAATTTAATCAAATAAAATTTTTATTATTTATTAATTTCATTCATTATTAATTACTCCTTTTAACATGGCACTTTAAAATGCACATCTGGCTCACATTATATTACTATTAGACAGCACCATTACAGACTACAGAAGACAAGTACATATTTACTGAAAATTCTATTTTAACCTAATAGAAATAAAAACAAAGCATCCACAATAACGTGAACCATCCTAAATCCCAAAAGAATAAAAATGTATTTGCTGTTAGAAATGTAGATCTATTTAAATATACACATGAAAATGACTGCTGGAAGCAAAGAAAAAGAAGATGCTGCACAAAGAAATTAGCCGTGGAAGCATAAAACCTTTCCATCTCCTTTCCTACTTTATACCAATACAGCTACTTTAGAAATCCCTTTTTTTAAACTAGTTTCTACACAAAGCTGTTCAAAAAAGCAAAAAGATATTGAATCCACCATATTATAAAAGACTTCCTAAAATAAACTATCACTTCACATTTAACTCACGTAGTAAATAAATAGCGACAACTCAAAGTTCCAACATAGAGTCATAGGGAATAATCTCCCACTGAACTAGCACAAGTAAAGAATAGTTCCTTTTACTATTCAAGATATTAGGAACAAAACAGGCATCAAATTAAAACTCTATTTAAAAACTATTAAATACTTAGTTAAAACATATGGTATACTCCCTTGCCCCAGTTACCCAAAAAGATATTTTTTAAAATGCACCATTCACTTATTAGGCAAATGAGAATTTTTTAATTCAGTGTACTACATGTTGTTTCTCCTAGTAATTTTCTGATACTATTAAAACAATATTTCAATACAAGAAGTACATCTGCAATAGGTATAACACCTTAGCAAATACTTACCTTACCAAATAGGAGAATGGCAATTTTGGAATGACCACATCCAAATTGCAGGTGCCATGATTTTTGTTTAATTAATCATAGCTACTTTATGAGTAATACTAGAATTTTTTGCTTTTAGTCTAAAGCTCTATGTTACTTCATGCTTATTTTCTAAGACTCTATCAGAAGAGCCCCAGGAATACATCAAACCCAAATGGCCAAAATGAGAATGAAACCATTGATCTGGTATAATCCAACTGATCCAACCAAGTAAACAAAAAACTGTACTAATATTGGGAACAAATTTTTATCAATAAAATTTACAAAACTTCTAATCATCCTCTATTGTTAATGGGATACATTCTATAGTGTACATGCTATTTCTCTTCTCATATTTCCCATTTGTTCCTCAACCCACTGCAAACTAGCTTTAGTCTTCATCCCTTGATGAAACTGCTCTTATCGCTAACAATATTAATACCCAATAACAATATAAAAACTCTATGGAAAGCCCTTTTATTCAGCTCTTACCTTCACCAGATAGTCTATGGAATTTAAAACAACTGACAACTCAAAAATTTCTCCTCCCTCAGATTCTGAGGTATTACTGTTTAATGGTTCTACCTCATATCTTCTCTGTCTCCTCTGTCAGCGGAACTACTTAATTATAGGTATGTATGTCTACGTGTATCTGTGTGTGTATATGTCTGTGTGTATCAATCAGTAGGCCCCAGGGTTTCAATATTGTGTGCTTTTTCTCAATCTTCCTGTTAACTTTCTTATTTTGAAGATTCCTCCTATGTGATTTCATCCACTAATACAGTCTGTATAAAGACACTATCAGAATCTGTGTATATGTAAATAGTTAAAAAAAAAAAGGAGGGAAATAGGGACAGGAAGAGGGAGGAAGAAAGAACACACAATAATGGAACTCTAGGGACAATAAATATATAGATAGATATTGACAGATATACAGATAAATAGAAAGCAATGACTCTCAAAGTCCATATTCTCAGCTCTGATCTTTCTACTAAGCTACAGATTCATATTCACAACTTCCTACTGGTTTTGTTCATCTGTTTAGCCTCATACTCACCTCACATTCAACATGTCACAACTGGACTCCTCATCTTTTCCTCCTCATGTATTTACTACTATATGCTAAGGATCCCACCATCTAACAACTGACCAAGTCAGTTGTTCCCCTCTTATACTCATCCCATACCAAATCAATCACAAAGTCTTAGTAACTTGCACATCTCTTGAATTTGTCTGCTCCTTTCCATCTTCACAGTCATTGTTTTTAATTTATGCTCTCATCTCTTTCTTTGAACCACCACAATAGCCTTATATATCACCATCTGTTAATAGTGCTTACAGTGGGTATTATTTAATAGAGGCATACCTCGTTTTATTGCTCCTCGCTTTATTGCACTTTGCAGATACAATTTTTACAAATTGAAGGTTTGTAGCAACCCTCTTTCAAGCAAGTTTATCAGTGCCATTTTTCCAACAATTTGCTCACTTCAAGTCAGTGTCACATTTTGGTAATTCTCACAATATTTCAAACTTTTTCATTATTATATTTGTTAGGATGATCTGTGACCAGTGACTTTTGGTGTTAGTTACTAACGTTGTGTTCTGACAGCTCCACAGACTGGCCATTCCCCGCATCCTTTTCCTCGGGCCTCCCTATTCCCTGAGACACAACACTACTGAAATCAGGCCATTTGATAAACCACAACGGCCTCCAAGCGTTCAAGAGAAAGAAGAGTTGTATGTCTCTCACTTTAAGTCGAAAGGTAGAATTGATTAAATTTAGTGAGGAAGGCATGTCGAAAGCCAAGATAAGCCAAAAACTAGGGCTCTTGCACCAAACAGCCAAGTTGTGAATGTAAAGGAAAAATTCTTTTTTTTTTTCTCTTTTAAAAAAAAATTTTTTTTTTGCGGTACGCGGGCCTCTCACTGTTGTGGCCTCTCCCATCGCGGAGCACAGGCTCCGG